GCTGGGAGGTGCAGGTGAGGGGCCAGCCTGAACAGCCTCTGAGCCTGGTGCTTTGTTGAGGGCAAAACATGCCGGGGAGGGCCATTCGGTGAGTGTCCCGCCTGTGTTCTCCGGTGTGAAGGAGAAGATGTCAAGCACGGGTGTTCTCTGCTCTTCCCGCAGTATCTCTTCGAGTATCGATACCAGGTACTTCTTAGGATCAAAATGTAGGTTTTTATTCTGTATGTTTGGCAGCTTCATAGTCCTGCATCCCAGAGTAGCATCTGATGGTCAGAACTCGGAGTCAGCGGATGACAGGCTGAGAGAGTTGGGGCTGTTCAGCCTGGAGAAGAGAAGGCTCCGGGGTGATCTTATTGCAGCCTTCCAGTGCCTAAAGGGGCTACAGGAAAGCTGGAGAGGGACTTTTTACAAGGGTGTGTAGTGATAGGACAAGGGGCAATGGATTTAAACTGAAAGAGGGGAGATTTAGATTAGATACAAGGAAGAAATTTTTTACATTGAGGGTGCTGAGGCACTGGCACAGGTTGCCCAGAGAAGCTGTGGCTGCCCCATCCCTGGAAGTGTTCAAGGCCAGGTTGGATGAGGCTTTGGGCAACCTGGTGTAGTGGAAAGGTGTCCCTGCCCATGGCAGGGGGGTTGGAACTAGATGATCTTTAAGGTCCCTTCCAACCCAAACCGTTCTATGATTCTATGACCCTGCCTGTTGAAGAGCAGGTGCTGGCTGCTGCCTTTACCGTTCCTTGCAGTTAAAAGCTTGACCCCACGTTTTTATGAAAATACCATTTCAAAGTAAAATAAGCGTTAGCACTTTTGTCAGTCTGGCTGCTGTTGTGAACAGCTCTCATAGCCTTGTTACCCTTTTCTGAACTTGCCAAAGAATATTCCTCGGGCAAGTGCAAAACTGATGGATGGGGCTTTCTAGCATTGCGGTGGGTCTGAACGACACAAAATGGAGCTAATCGCGGGCAAAGCAGTCGCAGCTTCTTTGTCGCACACAGTTGCTTCATCTGCAGACACTCAGTTCTACTTTGACTTGCACTAATGGTTTAAGAAAATGGTGTTTGCACAATGTCATTATAGCCCTGACTGGAGGTGATGGGCTCCCGTTCCAGTGGCCTCCCAGGGAAACTTGTTCTTGCTCCTGTGCTGGTGAATCTTCGCCATTAGCTCACAACGTATTTGGGTTAAAGAGCATTTTGATGTGATATTGAAACGTGGAAGGTAGAAGTCACAAACCACACTAAATTCTCCAGCAGCATAACTTTTAAGAAAACACTTTGGTTAACAACTGGTCACAGCTTTCTGACGGAAGACTGCTGAACTCTGAAAGCAGTTGCAGAGACCCTTAGCTGTGCAACTACTGGAAAAGAATTTAAATGGATTATGAAAGATTAGTTCTTTTCCTCTGCTGTGTTTTAACAGCAAAACAAACACGTGGCCTTTGTCTCAGGAGGCTGAGCTATCGACTCTCGGGCGAGTGCGCTGGGCAAGAGCCCCATGGTCTGTTATCGTTCGCTTGCTGTTCTGCCCAGCTCTAAGTAGCTCTTGCCACGTAGGACAGGAGGCTCGTCTTGGCCTATCTCGATGCTGCTGTTGATAGCCTTGGTTTGCTCCTTTAATTTTTTTTTCTTCTTGTAGATAAAGTCTTTAAAAAAATCCCTTTGTCTTTTATTCCCACGGTGTTTGCAAGTAGACTGTTAAGAGGTTTTGGAATTAAAAAAACCCCATATTTTATGTCTAGGTTTTGTTGAGAGCAGGGATTTGTGAAAATTAGGCTTGAAGTTAAATTTTAAAGTTTCTTTCCATCTCTGTGTGCAGAGATTGTTACCTCCTGCTGAAACAATAATATATTTCATCTTTCACGGTGTGCAAAATGCTTTTTTTTTTTGTATGTTGGTTGTCACTGAGGTCTCCTAGTTTTGGTCTGGAGTGGAATTGATCACTCTCATGGCGTGCATCTCCCTTCTCTACTGTGTTTTCCCCGTTCCATCCTGCAGCTGACCTGAACTGAAGTTTGATGTCTCCATCCTCTTTGCTTCAGCGGCGAGTGAGTCGGGATGTCCGCCTGCAGCCTAATGCTACAGTCACAATTCATTATAATGTTTTAAAGCTGCCCTGAAAAAACAAACCAGCTCAAACGCAATCCAGTACATCCCTGTTTCAAAAGACTTGTCTTAAAAAGCTTTTCCTTTGCACTGCAGAACTTCTCTTGATGCATTTGTCCTCTGTCCAGACAAGCTGGTTTGCGAGGCGGATCCGTAGCGATCTCTCCTTCTACCTTACGTTGCTAATTATTTAGCCTTTCATTTGTGTGAGGCTTGGCAATGAACTCCTTGTACGTGATGGTCAGCAACAGCCACGTGAACGCTGTCAGACTCGGCTCGTTACTAAATACGGGGAGTTTATCCTGTCACTTCTCTCTTCCCTTGTTTTGATTTTCTGCTGTCCCTCCTTGAGGGTGATCTGGAGCAGATATCATTGCTTCCCTTCTTCCTCCTGCAAGCAGTCGTTTGAGGGGAGGAGGTGGTCACTGCTCTGTACTTGGTGCTGTGGTGTCTGGAATACCAAGGCTGTAAAAACAGATTGGCTTTTCTGTAGCTGTGTTTAGTCCTAAAGCTACTAGGTGGCAAAGTGGTTCTGAAGCCTTGAGAGAATTTCCCCCGTAAAGGTTGAATGTAGCTGGAAATAACAGCATGGCTTGACACCATGGCAGGTGTAGGGAGGAGGTGGCATACGTCTGCCTTGGAGGCAGTTCCCAAGTGAATTGTTCTTTCTTTTCCCTCGTCTTCAGAGACTCTTCAGCGTAGTTCCTAAAAGTGAAAGCATTCACCTGCTATGACTCGCTGCCCACGATAAAGGCTTATGGAGCGCCGTTTTCCGGATACAACTGCATCCGTGTCCTGAAGACGTACAGCCCGCTTCTGTTGGAGCACTCTGTGAGCAAGCCCAGCTGCTCCTGAACCAGGCATACGTGAGGGTGAGTCGGTCATAATCACTCGTTTCGCCAAACAGGAAACCTAGGTTTCAAGAATCAGTTTTAATCTTGACTTATGTCTATTTTTGTTTCCTTAGGTAGGTTCTCACTCATTGCTAATCCCTAAAACACAGCTTTTCCATACTCGTTTTGATGACGAGGTAGATTCACTGGTTTTCTAAGTTGCAGAACAGCTTAACTAATTCAAATTCTAAACCTCTAACAGTTTTACATTTTACTGTTGTGTTACTAAAATGCCCTTAAAGGATATAGGTTCATAAATACATGCATGTTTTTCCCTTAGAAAGACATGTTTTACCTTAAATATAACTAGCTTTTTAAAAAAAAAAAAAACAAACCAAACCCAGCCAAAATTAAACACACCCCCCCTCAACCTTTTAAATTCGCTTGAACCAGTTGCGATATTACACGATTCTGTTTAAGATCTGTGCAATCTGTGTTGGCACCCTCGCATCTACTTTTTACTTGCTGGCTGAGAAGATAAGAGCTGTATTGGCCCAGATGGAAGGACTCCTGAGCCTGGAGTCCCACTTGTCGTGGTCAAACTGCTTGGAGAGTGAAGCAAGCATGTTGTGATGCTGAAACCCTTTTAATGATCTGTGGTTTAGGAATTTCTTGAACCAGAAGTCAGAATCTTGTATTTTTTGCAATTAATATCCCTTGAGGTTTTTTTTTTTTCCTAGTTAGCCTTCAATTAATTTCTTAATACTGAACTTTTCACTGTGCTAGAAGAAGATAACGTACTTTAAACTACAGAAGAGTCTGTGAGAGCTTGTTTTCAGTGCTTTTCCAGTGACAACTGTACAACCAGAGGCTTCCTCATATGACCAGTGTCTGGCTTCCCAAATAACGTTGTTAGGATATTGTCCCAAATGGCAGCCAGCGATTGCACAGTTGCTGTTTGGCTCCGATGGTAGCGAGCCTTCTGTATTTGAAAGGTGGCAACTGTCTTTGACTTTCTTTTAATTTTATGATGCTGCATGTCTGCTGCTAAATAGGTTACTTAATAATTGTAGAACAGTAATAACCTGTTACAGGATATTCTCCATAATTTCTAGCTGAAATGCTAAACTTGATTCTTAAAAGAATAACATGAGTTTAGACTCAACTGTCACTTATTTATTCTGGCATGCTTGAAGCGCATAAATAGCAACACGATGTCTTTTGTAGGGCTTTATTTTAGCTGAGACTTTATATAATGTTCTATAGAAGTACACCTTATGGCTTGAAAAATAGCTTGTAATGAGGCAGGGCTTTGAATCCTTTTGCTCTTGCTAGCATTCTCAATTCAGTTATCTGAGCGTTTGTCCTACAATCCCAGTTACTAATAGGCCTAATGGACTAAACACTCAGTTCACTGTTAAATCTGTGGTTTGTTGAGAACTGGTTCTTTACAATTTTGGCTGTTTCGTAGAGTCTGTCTGGAAATGATGCTGAATATTCCTGACATGAAATGAGAACCTTAAATGTGCAGCCTTTACTCGTGTGGCTTGAGCAGTATGTCTCTATAAGGGGTAAAGAACACATGAAACTGTTAATACTTACCACCTAAAGGGTAGCAATGTGCTAGATTAAAGGACAAAGTTGTTCCTCTGCATCCAGAAACCGTGGAAGAACTGGAAAATAATGGGTAGTGGAGACAGGAATAGTGTGTGGGTGGGAGCTACTTACCCAGTGAACTTCCTACTCCTCTTCTTCCTTCCTTTCCCCTTCCCTGCGACAGGCTTCAGGTACAAACCTTGCATTTCCTAGGTGCTTTATCCACCAAGACTGGTTCTGTTTTCTAAAATAGAAATTCTTCTGTTATTCAATAGAAGTAGTAACACTGACTCTCGTTTTGGGTTTGCTTTTTCAGAACTCCTTCTGGATGACCAATGTGTATTGTAACCGATTGTATCAGAAACTAAGTCTCCAACTTCCCATTCATTCCAGCTGGTAGCAACGCTTATAATGCAAAAAAATCCCAATTCAGGATCACACAAACATTACTCTTAAAGCTTTCTAGATGATTGTAGTTGCTTGGGTTGTGTTCTATGCTAGCAGAAGCCTTTTCCAAGGTTTACTGTTGACTCTAGAGCACCACATTCCCCGCTTACTGGGAGCCTTGGGAGCTAGCAATATGGGGAACTCATGTGTTTGCCGCGATGACAGCGGAGCAGAAGACAACGTGGAATCTCAGAGTCGGCAAACGGAGCACAGTAGAGTACATGTACCTGAAGCAAGAAGCCACCCAAGGGACCCTGTCCGTCCACCCAGGAGGGGTCGAGGACCTCATGAACCAAGAAGGAAAAAACAGAATGTGGATGGGCTAGTACTTGACACACTGGCTGTAATTCGGACATTAGTAGATAAGTAAGTACCTCCTCAAGGAATAATTCAACATGAATGAAAATGTTCTTGTCTTCTCTCAAACTGTGACTCCATCCTCTCACCGATCTACACCTGACCCTCCCTGAAGCAGCCGCGTGTTTCCATCTGGAGGCTTAGGAGAGGAGCACCTTTCCTAGGTAATAGAAGTAGCTCCTGAGTGCCCAGGTACAGATTCTTCCAGGAGCTGAGGAGCTTTCTCACAGTTCCTGTATGGGCCTACACCCAGGTGGGATGAGGAGCGTGCTCAGTATTTCTTACCTGGCGTAGATACTCAGTTTAGGAAGCAATGAACGTTCCAGAGTTTGGGAACTTCTGTCCTAAAAGAATTGGTTGTTGTGCAAGCTTGCTGTTTTCAGGCTGTATTTACTTCTTTGGAAATGGTTAAGCAAAACTGAGAGCTTTGATCTTTGTTAGCTTGTATAAACAGACTGAGGTTTTCTTTCCAGTTATAAGCCTGACTACTTTTTAAAGACCACATGTTGTGACTGTTCAACTCATGATCCCAGTATTGCATTCCTTGCGTGCTCAAAGCATCCATTAAGGGTGTGGAGGGTATTTATGGATTCATCTGTATTTTTTTTGGGTTTGTGTTGCTTTCTACAAAGCTTTAAAAGGACCTTAAAAACGCCGAGTTAAGTCAGCGCGTCACCTTTGGGGTTAGGTGCAGGCTAGGAATTGGAAAGGCCAAAACAGAGGGAAAACCACTATTGTAGCTTCACAGCTGGGATTTGAGTTTAAGGTGGCTGAGGCTCATGATAAGTGAGCCTTGATTCATATACCTGCACCGTTACTCTGGAATGTGCCTGAAGAGGAGGAGTTTGTCTTCCTGTTGTGAAATGCTTTAAATGGAAATGCCAGGACATATTTTTTTTTTCCTGAACATTTAAATCCAAGAGGGCTTTTTTTAACAGATTTTATTTTGAGGTCTGTCTTCAAATTGTGAAGTGAAAATCATGGCACGTTTTTTTTGAAAGTCTCTCCCTGTTCTCACATGCCTTCCCCTTTCCCCTGGGTTCAGCTCCTTAAGCTGTTTCACAACACTTTTGAGCATAGTTGATCCTGTTCTGGGTCTTGCAGTCAGTTTTGTAATCTTGTAAGCACTTTCCTGTGCTACTGAGGGACAGTAAGTATAGTTATTTCACTGATCCTGGAGTCCTGCTTCTCACAAATTCCTGAAGCTACTGTATTTTTTTTTTTATACAGACTCCAGCGAAATACTTGCTTCAGCTCACATAGTCACGTAGGTTAGAAGGGACCGCTTGAAGTTCATCCGCTCCAGCCTCCTGCTTAAAACTGAGGTCTAGCTGCAGCAAGTGGCTCAGGGTCTTACCCAGTCAAGTGTTAAACATCTTCAGAAGATGGAGATTCTCCACCTCTTTGGGTCCCTGTTCCAGTGTTTGACCACCCCCATGGTTTAAATAAGTAAATATTTTTAAAAGATTGAATTTCCCATGTTCCAACACACCCCTGTTGCCTCTTGTCCTGTTGCTGTGCACCTCTGAGAAGTGTCTGGCTCTGTCCTCTCTGCTTTTTCCTGTTACTTAGTTACAGAGAGCAGTAAGACTTCTCCTCCTCATCACTGCACCCCTGAAAGATGAACAAAGCTATTTCTTTTAGCTTCTGCTCAAATGACGTGTTCTCCAGCCCTCAGCCATCTCAGTAGCCCTCTGCTAGACATGCTGTCTTATAGCAATGTCTTTCTTGTCATGGGGAGCCCCAAAATGGGCTGCACTGTTATTCTGGTGTCCCTTGTTTCAGATTAAGGCAGTTGGTAAGACACAGCTGGTTTTATGACACAGCCATGTATTACAAGTTGTTGCAGGTAACACAAAGACCTATGGCTATGAATAACGGGGGGGTCTGTTCATGAAGCAAACTGTCTAAATGTGTCTGAAAAAAGATTTAAGAAGCCTTTCTGCTAGACTTGAAGCTAGTGATAGCCCTTTTTTGATTAATAGGAATGCTTATTCAGAGGAGGAAAAAAAAAATCATGTCTGGAAATCATTTTCAGTGTAAGCGAGAGACTGTAGGAATAAATATGTTCCATTATCACCTGTTCCTCCTAGAGCCTGATTTTTCAGTTTCGAAAACATCACAACTGAAGGAAACGGTAGGGAAGCTGACAAATGTCTTTTCCTGTCAAAAAATGTGCAAGAATAAAGTCAAACTAAAATGAAACCATGTAAGACAGAGCAGATTGGAAACACGGGCTTTGTTTGTTTGATCAAATCTCAAAGTACAGACCGAAAACACATCTGACAACTGTGAGTTTTTTCCTCTCATATCAAGAGATAACCCCTTTCTGGAAGGAAAGGGGTTAAGTTTCGTTTCCTAGCTTCAGAAGAATAAGTCCTAATTTTTAGAGTTTATATGAAAGTGCTGCTTTGCTAACTAAGAAGTGAACAAAATGACTGTTTTGTTTCCAAACGAGGAAGGTGGGGATGTTTGGGAATTAAGTGGTTAAAATGGCACATCAGTGGGACAGGACTGTCCTTTGCTCAGTCTCAGTACTGCTGACACCTCCTACCCGTGACAGAAATCTTGGTGATAAATATTTCACCCTTTTTTATCATAGCCTTTACTCCTACTTATGGTATCTTTTTTATTTTTCTTCTTGCTTTGAGCCTTTACATCCTTTCTCTTCAGGTAATTCTGCTTGCAGCATTGCAATGCTTTCTCCTGCTGGTGAGATTAGTTTCCAGAAGAAAAGCAAAGAGATGCTTGGAGGGGAAAAAAAAAAAAGTTTCAAATGTTATGGCAGTATAAAAATGGATTAAACTTCACTTTAGCATTTTCTTGTAGAAATATTTAAGAGTGTGTTGATTTTTTGTTGTTGTTAGGAAAAGCACGTGTTTACATCATATATTTTAGTTAAAACTGAGATTTTTCTCTTCTTTTGTAATTAATCCCTGCAAAGTAGGTAACTTACCTGCGTGATGAATCTGTGGTGAAGTTTTCTAAAATTCATCTGTGTTTCGCGTTTCCGATTTCGTTTCAGAGCTGTGGGATGGAAGCGGCGTTGGGCACGTACCAGTCTAAGCCCAGGGTTAGCTCACAGAGCTAAAGTAGCACTGAATAAAAGTGTTTAGGACATGGTGCTGCAGAAGCTTTTTCTGGACCTGGAGGTGCTTGCTGAGTAGGATTTGGAGACCAAAAAACCAGCAAACCAGATTGAGGAGCTGATCTGATTGAACTTTTTATGTTTTTCATGTTGGAAAGGGCATTGGGTTAAATATCTTCTGTTTAACTGCCTTAACTGTTTCTTACAGCTCTTGTTAATGAGTTTGAAGTCTTACGATGCTGTTAGTTTCAGTTTTGTGTTGTTTGGGGTTTTTTTTAATATATATTTAGCAGAGAAGTTCTGGGGGAAAAAAAAAAAATCACATTCAAGCTGTGTCCCTTGTGCACTGCTCAGGGTTCACTTCCTCACCTCTGACATCAAGTCTCTAGTTACATGCTCCAAGGAGCCCTGCTAATGAGTAGCGCTACGCCTGAGCATTCTGTTTAGCTTTTAGACATGCAGATACGGATCACCACTTCGTTTATCAGCTCTTGTGGATATGCAGATGTTGACTTTGAGCCACAAAAAGGCTCAAACCCCATCTGTGTTTCAGATCTGAACACAGCGTTGGCAATCTGCAGCCTGTGTAACTTCCTTTTGATAAATACTTACTGGATTCGTTTTCTGTCTGCGTGTTATCGTTTTATTTGGTGTATTATGTTGATGATGGTGCATAAATTTTGACCTGTGTAATATCTCTTTCAGTGACCAGGAGCCTCCTTATTCAATGATCACGTTGCATGAAATGGCAGAAACAGGTATCGAGGCACCGTGGGCATTTCAGTTGTGACTCCAAAGCAAAGCAAAATAAAAAAAATATTCCTCTTTTCTTTGCAAAGAAAAATAGGTGCTAGCAGTATGTATTGCACTTTGCTGTAGCACTAGGGATGTGGGATCCAAAACATGGTTCTGCCCTTCAGGAGCTTCACTGAGCTCATTGCATTTGCCAAAGGTTCTTTGAACCGCGTGAGGTTCCTACATCAGCTCTCCGGGAGCGGCCAGCTGATGGCCACAAACACGTTGGAATGGCACTAAAGCGTAAGCCACGGAGCAGGGCTGGCTGCAGTAAGGCAGAAACAACTCACACGTGTTTGTAGACGTGGTTTAAACCCACGTGCTCCAGTGTTGGCAAATTGTACGTACTTTTTGTCGTGTTTTGCTGTGCTTAGACCTCAGCTTTATTGATGCAGTTGTTCCAACCCTGTCCCTCAGTACCCCTGCAAGATGTTCGTGCAAGGGCTGTTTTGTCTTTGTCACAGCAGGAGAAATTCTCCCTGCTCAAGACCTCCACCAAATGGCTGGCTGAGGTGAATTTTTGCCTCTCTTAGTACTGAGTTGGTACTCAGGAAATATATTTCTATATCAAAATAAATTAATCAACCTGATTAGATATTTCAGCAATTCATTAAAGTGTTTTTCAGGCGAATGTGCTAACAAAACTGGAACCCCAGTGATGTGTTACTTATATGTGTGTGTCATTGTTGAAGGGAGCGCTAGGTCTCTTCAGCCTCACTCGCTTGAGTGTGGACACGGACTCTGTTAGCACTTTGAAGGAACTAGTTTCTAGTAAATCCAAATCTGTTTATTAGTAGTTTAACATCTTATATGTGGATTGTTGTTTACTTGCAAGTAGAAGCCCTTGTCTACTGACTGAACAGTGAGAGCTGTTCCTCATAAAAGCAAATTTTCTTTAGACCACCAGGCATGGGACGAGCTAATGCAGTTCCTCTGAGGTCCGTGTTACTGCAGGGAACTCAAGAAGAGTGCTGGAAGGAAATATTTCTTCAGTGTCATCATGGATGCAGCATTTAACACTTAAGAGTTGACATTAGACACTGAACTCTTGAGTATCGTGCTGTAACAGTGCTTGTCCATACTGGTCACGAGCGTTCCTTCCTAATACTTAGTGGGAACTAAAGGATGCTCTGACCTGGGCAAGACTGTTCTCCAAACAGTAGAAGCATTCACTATTACCCAGGCTGCTGTGAACTTTTTTTCTCCTTGGATTTAAACTTCTAAACTACTGCAAACTAAAACATTGAGTAAAAAGTAAACTTTTTTCTTTTCCTGGTGTCTGTAAACTCACTGGGTGATTTTTGAGCATTTTTCCATTTACACTTATGGATGTATTTTGAACACTTCAGAATTGCAGTGTTTAATTCTGAGCGTTACTTCTGTTTTGTGGTTGACAGATGAAGGCTGGTTGGAAGTTGTCCAATCTTTAATTAGAGTTATTCCATTAGAAGATCCCCTGGGACCAGCTGTTATAACGCTACTACTTGATGAATGTCCACTGCCAACAAAAGTGAGTCAAAAGTGTTTATCTGTGGGTGAATTGCAGTTATTTGTGGTTGTCCCACCCAGGAGAGCTTCTGGGTGGGTTATACCAGTGGTGCAAGACTCTGTTAGCTGTTCAGAAAATGGGTGTAACGTGTAACTTTGAGTAATTTGTGGTAACTTGGTATC